GCAACTGAGGAAGACTCCTGACGTCAACCTTAACCTCCACGTGTACACACACATGCACACGCATGGACAATCAGAAAACACACCACACAAAGCTTTTTACTCAGTACTTGGCAAAAATGCACCAAGAATGCTAATGGTAGGGGTCTGGAGAGATGTTTCAGTGGTTAAGAACACTGACTGTTCTTCCAAAGGACGCAAGTTTGATTCCTGGCATCCACATGGCAGCTCACAACTGACTGTAACTCCAGTTCCTGGGGATCTGACACCCTCTTCTGGTCTCCCTCGGTACCAGGCACACACACACACACGGTGCACAGATATACATGCATGAAAAACACCCATAATACACAGCTAGTTATGTTTTTTAAAAGAATGCTAGTAGCAGTAAATTAATAAAAATAAATTGTGCTACGTCAGACATTGCCATAAGACACAGATTAAAAGGAGGCAAAGCCTTGAGTGACACAGGCATTGAAAAAAGATGACAGGGCCGGGCGGTGGTGGCGCACGCCTTTAATCCCAGCACTCGGGAGGCAGAAGCAGGCAGATCTCTGTGAGTTCGAGGCCAGCCTGGTCTACAGAGCGAGTTCCAGAACAGCCTCCAAAGCCAAACCCTGTCTCGGAAAAAAAAAAAAAAGAAAGAAAAAGAAAAGAAAAGAAAAAAGATGACAGCTGCCAGTATCCCGAGTCCAGTCTCCAAATTCACAGCAAGAGAAAGAAAACTAAGTTCAAGTAAGGGGTGAGCACGGGAGGCTGGACTGGCAGCGGACATGGAGTTGAGGCAATGAGGGGCTGGTTCAAGGCAATAAGCGGTTGCTGCAAGCCGTGCTGAACATGATGGGGACATCGCCAGAGTCGCACTCTCAGAAACTGTGCCCAGCACAAAAGCACAAACCAATCAACTTATTGGAGTCTTGTTCGTCTAGTTTAAGGAGCAAGGCCACAGGTAGCACCATAATGGCCAGAACAGAGAGATTCTTGTCACACACCCCGGCCACAACCCTACCACCGCAGCCCCTCCCCACTGCAACCCCTCCCCCACCACAGTCCCCTCTCCCCCCACACACACACAAATCTAAGGACAAGGGAGATCTAGGAGGAAAGGGTTCAGCAGGCCACATTACAGGTTTACATCTGATAACAGCCAGGTCATCCCAAAGCGGTGGGGGGGGAGGGGGATGTAGGTCAGCATGGGCATGTCCCCGTACAAGGTTCTGGCTTCCTTCCCCAGGGAAGAAGAGGAAGACCGGGAAGACACAAGTGCCTCTGCTCTACTAGTCCCCTGCACCTCACAGACACTGGGGCCAGAATTAGGGAATGGTTACAATCCTGTACTATTTATTTCCTCTTGCCTTTGCTACAGGAGGACCAGCTTCCGCCTTGACCGGACCCTTCAAATCTCACCTCTCTCACTAAACCTCCAGCGTGGAAAAACTGGACTGCCCTGAAATGTACCATTCCCACCCTAAAAGGTCTCACTTTTCTGCTTCCCCAGAAAACAGAGAGAAGGGCAAGAGAGGACATGGAAACATAGTCAGGCGGGGACATCGGGACAGCTGGGCTGCACTCTCTCCCCTGCGTAGGACAGAGGCCCTGGGTGGTGGTGGGGGGCAGGGGGGGAACAGAATAAGAGAGCCAGCAATCCCAGCAATTGGGAGGCAGAGGCAGTGGATCTCTGTTCTGTGTTCAAGAGCCTCCTGATCTATGAAGTGCGTTCCAGGATGGCCAGAACCACACAGTGAGACCCCAAAACAGCAAAAAGACAGTTGAAGAGAAGGAAGCACATTAGGGCACAGTCCAGTCCTTCGGTCCGGGAGTACACATTCAGCCAGATTTATTTTGATTTTTTTACGTGTATGAACGTTTTTCTGCATGTCTACTGGTATACATGTGTGCCTGGTGGCCACAGAGGTCAGTAAAGGGGATCAGATCCCCCGGAACTGAAGTTACAGATGGTTCTCAACCACAATGTGGGTGCTGTGAACTGAACCCCAGGCCCTCTGCAAGAGCAGCCAGCGCTCTTAGCAACTGAGCAGGTTCTGATAGCCACCTACTGCTTTTTTTTTGTTTTGTTTTGTTTTTTGTTTTTTTTTGTTTTTTTTGTTTTTCGAGACAGGGTTTCTCTGTGGCTTTGGAGGCTGTCCTGGAACTCACTCTGTAGACAGGCTGGCCTCGAACTCACAGAGATCCGCCTGCCTCTGCCTCCCAAGTGCTGGGATTAAAGGCATGCGCCACCAACGCCTGGCCCCACCTACTGCTTTTTAAAGGATTAAAGGGTAGGCAGGAGAGGCCAGCTCCACCTAGAGGATCTTCAATAGCTCTACGTGTACCCACCACACACACACACACACACACACACACACACCCTGCATTCAAACTGAACCTCTTAAGGTCTGAACTTTCAAATCATGTGACCCACCTCCCCTACCAGGCTCTAAGTCAGTGGTTCTCGACCTTCCTACCGCTGTGACCCTTTAACACAGCTCCTTGCGTCATGGTGACCCCAACCATAAGATTATTTTCGTTGCTACTTCACAACTGTAATTTTGCTACTGTTATGAATCACAATGTAAATGTTTGTTTTCTGATCTTAGGTGACCCCCATGAAAGGGTCGTTTGACCCTGATTGAGAACCACAACCACTGGCTTGAGTCTTCAGGGGTTGTTGTGATTGTTGTGAAGGACGGTGTACTTCTGAGGCTTCGACTACCTGAACACAGTAACCATGTGAGTGCCATCCACTAAAGGACATAGTCCCCATCTCTTCCAGGACCCTCCTGCCCTAGAGGCCTGCCAGCCCACAGCCAAGGCTCCAATCCCAATTGTTTTCTGTACAAAAAAAAAAAAAAAGGCTTTTAACTTCAATTCTCTGGAATCAGTCATACGATTTTCTTTTCTTTTCTTTTTCTTCACTTTTCAGGTCAGGGTTTCTCTGTTTAGTTGTGGCTGTCCTGGAACTCCCTTTGTAGACCAGACATAGTGATCCACCTGCCTTTGCCTCCCGAATGCTGGGATTAAAAGCATGGACCACTCCTGGGCATCATACAAATAGTTTTAATCACCTCAGAAATCAGCCTTTCCCCAGGGTCAGTCAGCTACCCAGTCCCAACTCTGGTCCGAGGTAGAGCAATCAAGTTCCCAAATCCCCTTTCTCCTTCTTTTTGTCTTCAGGTGGAGCCAAGAAGCCTTGGCAAGACTGGCGGGCTGAGACTCTGCCAGCCCTGACTAGTTTTAAGCAGTCACAAGTAAGGCATGCAGACCTTCACCTTCCAGAGGAACATCCCCTTGGTCTCCATCATCAGATCAGCACGCACACAAGCACACATACATACACACACGTGTACACACCCACACCCACACCCACACCCACACCCACACCCACACCCACCGTTGAGATAGAAGGCTGCCTGGTAGGATCAAGGCTACAGTGGAGGGCACAAGCCAAAGGCCATGACCACCTACAGTGCCATTCGACGGAGCAATGCTCCAGCCAGGGACACCACAGAGCATCCTTCTTCCCTGGCTGCGTCCCCTCAGCAGCTGACCTGGAAAGATGGGTGGACACGAGTCTTCCTCTACCCTCTCATCCACCACTTCCTCCTTTTTTCACCGTCTCCGGACTCGTCCTATTGTCTCAGCCCTCTACCCAGTGGGCTGGTCAACGAATCCGGTAAGAACGAACCTGGGGAAGACGCTAATGCATGGAAGGACCCACAACCCGTTTACTGTCCTCCGTCCCCCTTTCATGACCAAGACTGGGTAACTGGACCAAAGTACTCCAGCTTGCGGAGTTTTAGAAGCCTTCTAAGCAATCAGGGGTCTGCTCCACTTTGGAATGTGCCCCACCCCCATCCCTAACAGCACTCCCTCCCGGCCACAGAACAGACACTGTTGGGGGGAGGGGGGTTCTGCAGGCGCACAATGCTACGCTTCCATATATTCTAGTGTCTGTACTTCAGGATCAAGATCATGAAGTCGTAAGTGACTTAGAACTTTGTACGTGTAAAAGTGTGGGCGTGAGGTGGAAGCGGAAAGCGCTCTGGATAAACCAGGGGCGAGCAAGGGATGGGATCCAGAACCTAGGCCTCCCTCCACTAGGAGGGGCGGCGCAGGCCTCTGAAATTCCAAACTTCCCGCGGAGAGATCCGGAGTCCTCGCCTCCCCATTCCAACCAGACTACTAGGTCTCCGCTGCGGCGCCCCTGGAAGTCTGAACCAAAAAAGCAAGGAGCCAGGCTCTGTTCCTCCAATTCCCTCTGGTCACAGAAACCTGCCTTCCCCACGCACCGCAACGAAATGAGGAAAAGGACGCCAACTACAGTCACAGTCCACCGTGGCCTCCCACTGAGTGAGTGGGGAGAGAGACACCTCTCGGACACTCCGATTGTGGACTCCTTCCCTAGCCGTCTACCTCGAGACGCAGCACCCTGCTTCCCTGACCCATTAAGTCCCCAGCGTGCTCAGGTTTGGAAACTTTCTGCGCACTTGTGGAGTGGGTGCATGTTCGCCCACCCCTGGGGTCCCCACCCCGGGCCTCGGCCCTCGCCCTCTCCCAGCCAGCTGGACTCAGGTCTTCCGGCCTGCCGAGGGCGAGGGCGGAGCGCCGAAGCAACAGCCCTTACCTGGGACTCGCCGCCAGCCCGCTCCGGCGCCGCGCTGAGAGCCAACTTCGGCCCCAGGCAGAGCGCCGGCAAGCGTAGGAGGGACTCAAAGGAAGGCGCGGGGCCAGAGCCCGCTCTGGTGGGGGGTGATCAGGCCTGGGAAGAGGTGCAGGGCCTTCCTCCCCGGGACCCCAGACTGAGCTGGGTGCACTCGGTGGCTCGCTCTCCCGCCCGCCTCCCCGGGCGCAGCGCTCCCCTCTCTCGGCCAGGGTGGGCCGGGCTGCATCACCGTGACATCACCTCCATTCCGGGCGCTCCTCTGGCGCCAGCAGCGCTCCAGGTACTAGCGATCCGCATCCCCAGTAACAAAGCTCACCCGGCCCTGCCCCCTCGGACTCACCTCCAGGCTAGGCAGCTGAGTACTTTCGAGCTGGGAAGGGAGATCCGAGTTTCTGGCCAAGCCGGAGTGTGGGTTGTTGCTGTTTACTGCCACGCCCCCGCACGCGGGCGCGCGCGCACTTGCGCGTACTCACTTTCTGGACTCGCCTTTCTCTCCCGAAAGCGGTTCGGGGTGCAGCCCAGCACACTCCTTGGTTGCATCTTCCAGCGATCGCACGCACCCACAGACGCGCGGTGGCTAGCTTGGCGCGTTTCTCCGTGACAGACACCCAGCCTTTGTCACTTTCGTCCTGGCTTTTCCACGAGATACTTTCCTGGCACAGTTCGCTGCTTCCCTCTGGAGCGAGGCGCACACTCAGACATAAAGTCCGTCTTTGTCACGCCTTCCGCGCCCCCTCCCCTCGAGAGCTTGCACACGTGGACACGGCACACACTGAGCGTACTCCTCTTTCGTGCATGGTCCTTCCGGGAAAGCCCAGTCTCCAAGATCACGAGGGAATGTCACGGCGTAAGCCCCTAACTCTGTGGGCTGAGCCCAGAACCCCTACGGATTATTGGCCGTCGTAGTCGGCCTGACTACCCCGCGCCCGAGTTTCTCACATCGCGGGCTCCCCTCCCCGCGTCCCGGTTCCCTGTGGTGACCTGTCCTAATTAGCCTTCTCAGTTTTGTTCCCCGAGGTACAGTATTTAACACGATCCCTGTGGTCCTTGCGCTCTTGGTCACGTTCCTGACTCCGAGTCCGGACACTCCCGAAGTCAGGGGACCTTTCCATGAATTCGGATTCCCCCGAGCCCCACCCCCACTCCCTGCACCGGTGGATCCACCGGTTGCCACCCTCTCTTCTCCAGCCCCTGGAATCTGCTGAAAAGAAACCGCAGAAATAGGGAAGCGAATCCCAGCTGAGGCCTTTCTGGCCCAGTAAACAAGAGATTTTTTTTCCCCCGGCCACTTTCCCTGAGGACTTGGGATCCCTCGGGAGTGGGCCGCGACGTCCTTGTGGCACCGAGTGGGTCTGGTTGGATTGCGCTATATCCCCGGAGGGGACAAGTCGCAAGAGAAAGAAGTTGTTGGGCCTGACAGGAGCCCTGGGGACGCGGGAGAGGGCAGGACATCGGGTCTCGGGGTGCGGGTTCTCGTGGTGCCTAGTTGCCTGGGGGAACGCCAGGAGCGCGGTCGGAGCCAGCCGGTGGCAGGGCAGGCGGCAGGGCGTGTTTGCTCAACCCTGAGCGCCCTCGAGGGGGAGGGAAGGCAGCTGGTCACAGGCGAGGGGATAACCAGCCAGGTGGAGGAGGGCAGGGAGCTGGTGACCCGCGCCTCCCCGGCTGGCTGTGTGTTTGCATGCCTCCATCTATGACAACCTGGAGTCTCAACTCAATGAATCACCCGGAGTTGCTGGAGCGATAAACCTCAGGCCGGTTCCTCCCCTCGCACACAGCTCTGCTCTTTTCTGACTCTGGGAGGAATGTTTGCTTAGGGGGGGGGCGGTGGGGACTGTGCGGCCCAGGATTTCTAGAACCCTGAATCCTTCCCTGTGCCTTGTCGATTCCATCCGGTCTGGGGAATGTGGCACAGCCGGAACTATTTCAGTGGATGGCTGCTGCAGGGGTACCTTCTCCCACTCCCAAATCCACCTCCCACCCCAGAGTTAGGATCCAGTGCTCAGGTGTCAAGGCTTGAACGGCGCAGGCAGTTGGTGCCCACGCTAGCTAGAAAGGTAAACATACTGGTTAAACCTAAGTGAGCAGAATGACTGCCCTGGCCTCTGCCTGCTTTTCCTTAACTAGGCGACCGGTGCCTAACTGTGCTGAGATAGTTCATTGGCAGATGTGAAAAGCCAGCTAAGTGGGGAGAGGAGGCGCAGGGAGCCAAGGGAAGGAAATGGTCTAAGACCGGTGGCAAACCTTCTCACTTTTCTTTCTCTCTTCCCCACAGCCTCCAGAACGGTGACACCCCCCCCCCCGGATTGGTGACTCACACCTGCAATTCTAACACTTGGGATAGAGGCAGGAGGATCAGAAACTCAAGGCCATCTCAAGACCACCCTGGACTACACAAGATTCTTTCTTAAAACAGAGCCACCACACTGTTAGCCGCCCCCCCCCACTCTTCCCACCACCACCAGGCAGGGGTGTCTGGTGCCTAGTCACCCACTGGGAGTCATTTAAAAAGGGGCTGGCCCACAGTGACTGAGCCCTGCCCTCCACCAGCCCGGTGAGGTAGTTGGCAGTAGAAATGAGGCCAGTGTCTGAGAACTCTTTGCTCTTCCCTGTTCACCCAGGCACCCTTCTGGAACAAGATCTGCCTTTAAAGGACAAAGCAGGTCCCTCTGGGCAGATGATTCCCACCTCTGGTTCTGTTCTCCAAGATCCCTACTGCACACTACCTAGGTCTTAGGAGAAAGAGTTGCAAGTGAGTCAGTCCCTGCTGCCGGCTACAAGAGCTTGAACGTTGTGTAGACCTGCAGCAGCTCTCTGACTCCAGCCACAGGGACATCTGTGTTCCCTAATGTCTCTCACCCTGATTTAACTCACTGTGGACTCTCTTCACAATAATATAATCCCATCAGGAATGGCCCACTGCGGGAACTGCCCACCAGCTCCTTCGAGCACTCCTGGAGTTGCAGGCTTGGCAGGAGCACAGCGCTGTCCTACCCTTCCTTCACTCTAGGTGCTTGCTCCTGCTTGGAAGGCAGGCTGGTGACATCTTTATGCATTTGTTCTGTCTGTCTTTGAGCTACCAGAGGGCCCCTCAATCTCAGAGTCTTGGAAGTGCCACCTGCAAGCTGTGTGGCCCTCTTGACCCCCTTACTTTCCTCTTTTGTAAAATGAGAGTGATAAACCCACCCTCCAAATATAACATGTCTAGAATGTCCTCCCCACGAGCCTGGCACTTACAAGATGGGTCTGAGGCCAGACTCTTCCTCCCTGTGTGAAGGTCCAGCCCTGGGAGCCATAGATCTTTCCACAAGAAGGCAGCTAATTGCTCTGAAAGCACACCCTGAAGGAATTTGCTTCTGCAGCATTGTTTGAATCTCACCATCACCTGAGAGGGCTTGCCTGTCTGTCTCCTGCTGAGCTCTGGCTTGTGCTGGTCTCTCTGTCTTCTTCGAGCTCTGCCCTGTCTACCCCACATCTCTGTCTAAGCAGAAGTTTTAAAGACTCCTCCCTTCTTCAGCAGATCTCTGTAAGTTCAAGGCTAGCCTGGTCTACAGAGTGAGTCCCAGGATAGGCTCCAAAGCTACAAAGAAACCCTGTCTGGTAGGGGGAGGGGTGTGGGTGTGGGGACTGGACAGCCATCTTCTCCCTGCCTCGATGTCCCGACCTATCCTTTCATTTCCCCCAGAAAGGACTTTTTGTTTGGTTGGTTTTGGTTTTAATACCCAGTTTCTCTGTTTAACAGCACTTTGTAGACCAGGCTGGCCTCAAGACTGTCTCTGCCTCCCCAGTGCTGGGATTAAAGCACCACCATGCTTGGATCAGAAAGACGTATCGTATTCGACTTGAAATGGTTCATCAATTAAGAGCACTGTTGGAGCACACCTTTGATCCCAGCACTCGGTGTTATGATATGCTGCTCAAGGTGGGACCACGGATCCCATGGCAGGGGCCAAACACATCACCAGGCAGAACTTACATGAAAAGGAAGGGAGGGAGAAAAGGAAAGAAAGAAAGAGACAAAGGCCTTCTTGCCTTTTCAGAAGAATGGCAGAAAGAGAGAGAAAGTAGGTGGAGTTTGTCTCTTAAAGAGACCCTTTGTGCCTTCCTACAGAGACCAGTGACTCTGCCAGGTCCCCAGGGGCAGAGCCAGGTTTGCCTGAATGATAACACCGGGGAGGCAGAGACAGGTGGGTCTCTGAGTTAGAGGCCAGCCTGGTCTATAGAGCTTGTTCCAGGACAGCCAGGGCTACACAGAGAAACCCTGTCTCAAAACACAAACAAAAATAACAAAAAGAATCCAGGGTAGAAATCTGGTGACCCATTTTGGGTAGACAATCCATGTGCTACAGGTCACACATGTTCCCAAGAGGGAACTTCCAGCTAATCCCAGGAGCAGGTATCCTGGATCACACAACATGTGGAATCTCTGAAGGGACTTATCGATCAGGAGCCCTGATGGATTAAAAAGAGTCCCTCCGAGTCAGGCATGATGGCACATCCTGTAATCCGAGAGAGAGAGAGAGAGAGAGAGAGAGAGAGAGAGAGAGAGAGAGAGAGAGAGAGAGAGAGGAGGAGGAGGAGGAGGAGGAGGAGGAGGAGGAGGAGGAGGAGGAGGAGGAGGAGGAGGAGGAGGAGATCATGGGTTCCTGCCTGGGCTTCACTAGACTGGGTCTTAAGCACCCACCCCCAAGAAAGAAGAAAAGAGAAAGGAAGGGGTGGGGACAAAAGCAGTCAGGCTATCCTGCACTGAGCTGAGTTGGGGCCTGGAATTTGTGTGGAGGAGTGGGGGTGGCTGGGAGCCCCACTGCTGCTGGTAAGCGGGGTTGTATTTCAGCTCTCCTTGCTTCTGGGCCTGTAGTGCCCCAGGCACAGTACAAGACTCCTTTCCCTTAGTGCTCATAAGGCTTCCTGCTGTGAGCTGAGCCTGCTGAGTTATTTTGAGGGGATTCATACAAGGACAGCCACTTTAAGAAGCAGGGAGCCAGGACCCGAGGGAGTTAAACACTCACTCCCCACTACGACTGGCTGATCTCTCAGGAATTGTACCCGGAAGCAGGCTTTGGGTAGAGCCTGCTGGAATGTCACCTGATGCTGAACCCTTCCACGAAACCTGTGCCTCCCCTGTCCTGTGCCAACCTCCCACCTTCTACAGCTCAGAGGCTCAATGGCAGTAACCAACTTCACTGGGAAAAACACTGGATTTCCGTGCGGGTCTGGCCAGTTCTCATCAATAAAGGACACAGCTCATCCTCAGAATCAGGCCTGAAATCCAAGTCTAGGCATTCGAGACAATCAACTCACCCAGCTCTTCCTAAAACCAAGACAGAAATGTGTGACCATGCTGCATCCTGCTCTCCCTACCATAGAGAGTGCCATCCCAGTCTGAGAGCCTTTCAAGAGTGAGCATGCTTTGTGACTGACCCCTAAATCCCCCAAACCAAAATGTGTGACCATGCTGCATTCTGCTCTCCCTACCTTAGAGAGTGCCACCCCAGTCTGAGAGCCTTTCAAGAGTGAGCATGCTTTGTGACTGACCCCTAAATCCCCCAAACCTACCACGCTGACCATCATGCAAAGCCCCATCTAGTGAGGGATGTTCACTGCTCTGATCATAGCTGATAACGGCTTCCAACGACTGCTAAATCAAGGTCGAAACTCTCTCTGGCCTGGCCACAAGGAAAACCCTTCCTGTTCCCTACAGGAAAGTCGGGCTAGAGAGGCCAGATCTAGCCTCCCACACTGGTCTTCCTGGGGCTCACTCCCGCTGGCTCCCTTTCTTAATCCCGGACTGACCCACCCCCTCTCAGCCCTCAGGAGCCATCGGCACTTTGAAGCCCTGGGGATTCTATTGGAAAGAATGCTGGTGACACTAGAGTCCTCCTTCCCTAGCACACATCTAGGAATCTTCCATTATTTAGTGTCTGTTCAATAGCTTGGTTGGTGGATTTTGCTTAGCCTGGCTGGCCATAAATTCTCTAAGTAAGCAAGGATGACCTTCTGCCTTTATCTGTCTCCTGACTTCTGAGATTACAGGTATGAATCACTACTGCTGGCTTTATTCTTTACATTGCTAATTTTT